AGCACACCTCGCTTTTTCAGACTGATGAGCTTTGTAAAAATCGACGCGTTTCAGAAAGGCGGGGCATAGAGGAGAAACAATAATGTACAGTATGTGGAAAATAGTGTTTTTTTAACCTTAAACCACATAAACACATTTCATTACACCAAATACACAAAATAATGTTCTTTTTAGCAACATCATATGACTCCTTTAACTGAACTTGAGCAGTTCTGCAAAGCACCAAGAGTGGGCAAATAGGCTATTGCAAAGTCTAGATGTGCAAAGTTAGTAGAGACATAAACCAACAGACTAAAGGCTGTAATTAAAGCAAAAGGTGGTTCAACAAAATACTGACACAAGGGGGTTATCCTTTTTCCAACTCAGTGGACTTTTTTTATTTATTTAGTTGGTGTTATATCTTTCACTTGGATGTTATAAGTTGCACTGAGTAAATACAGCTGGATAAAACAAAAACTGTGTCTGTCTTCATTTCAGGCTGCAAAGCAACAAAATGTGATTATTGTAAAGGGGGGTGATTCTGTTTATACCCACTGTCCTTAAGCCATCTGATGCCAACCTGACATGATCAGGTTCTGGTAATCACACAAGATGGAAACACAATCAAAATATCCCCATATTTAATTTAATAAAAGAATATTCTTAGGAATATAGCTTCTCTGTTTCCGCTGATGTCATTGTAAATATGATCAATTAGGCAATGACAGTCTAAAATTAAACAAGAAAAATTATATAAGAGTGCCAGCAATCTGCAAAAACAGCGTTTAGCTACAACCTCAAACAATGTAGGACATTTAATCGGTGGCTTTCTATGTAAGACGCTATATTTGACAAACAAATCACTAAGAGTTTGGCTTATTATTTAGAGAGACAAGCAAACCTAACCAGCAAACTTGCAAGTTAACTTACTCCTCACTCTGAAAATCCAAACTGGCTCACAAAACTGTAATTAACCATCACTAGGCCAAGAAAATAAATAAATAAAATAATCACTAACATAATCTCATAAATCCAAAAATATTCAGAGAGAAGAAGTGATGACAGCATTACACAGATACTAAATAAGTACTTTACTAGTAGTGTTGATGCTACTAGAGGCTTTAATATTTAACAGGGAGTGAAATGACAATGCAGGATTCGTCTGAACAACTAAGTTACAGTCTAAGCTTTAAAACAAAATGACAAGTTTTGTAGAGACATTTGTTTAGTAATATGTATATTTCTACAGAGACACCCTAAATAAGCAGTGGTGTTGCACAGTTATTAAATACTTGACAGTAACAGCTGTACAATATTTATGTATTACACATGATAATAAAATATAATATTCCAGAGTTTTTCCGATTATTATTACACCTATGCTACTGTGAAAGGCAGCTCCCATTTTGCATGTTGATCGTTTGATCAAGGCTTGCGACTGACAGAAACAACCCTGCTGTATTTCACTGTTGAAATGAGATGTCAAAGTTACAATAATTTATATATAAATATCATTAAACCAAGTAGAAACAATCGAAACAGCTGGTTCATGTTAACAGAGGTGGCCTAGGGGTTAAATGACACTGGCTGCATGTTCAAATCACATTAAATCGACGTAAACTTACGTTATAGAGCTGCAACATCAACGACCCGCAGATGGCATCGTCAATCATCAAGAGCGTTTAAGCAGAATCAAATAATATTCGTCTCAAAATCCTTGGACTCACTCCCTGGTGACGGCCATGTTAGTGACTAGAAGGGCGTGGTATGTTTTATGCAGAGACGATGTAGTGGAATCTGATTGGTCAGTGTTATCTGACGGGCGGAATTTGCTTTGTTTCGTCCTTTGTGATTGGTCCGTACTACAGGGCGGGTAATCGGCTTGCTGTTGTCTGGCTCATAGTTAGGCGTAGTTACCCTGAACATCGAAGTGAAACCTTTGATGTTATATGGGGTTTATAATAAACGCATATTTATACATATCGCTCTTTAAATATGTATCTGCACGCAAAATGGAAAGAAAAAGTTTTCTCGGTTTTATGACAGAGAAAGGAGGAGAGATACCAGTGATTTTTATTGAAAAATAATGAAAAATACACTTCAGAAGACATTTATACTTTAATAGTTTAATACTTTAACACTTTAATAGTTTAACATCTACACTCACTAATCAGTTTTCTTTTATTTGGAGGCAATTAATTAAACAATTATAACACATATACAAAATAGATCAGCCTTATAATAAATATAATCACAAATCATCCCCATTTGGTGGTATAAATTCATAATGATACTAAATTAAACACGTATTTGTAAAAAAAAAGAAAAAAAGATTACATTAAATAATGCTTATTAAATCAGTAATGTTCATTCCAAACAGTTCAAAATATGATATTTTTATAGAAAATTGTACTGTATACATCTTCTCTGCAGTATCTTTACGCCCCTGAAAAACCCTGGCTATAATGAATTAAACATTTGGTAAGCATTAACCTTGATCTTACATAAACGTTTGTACATCTTTTTTTTTTAAATATAACATCTGTAATATTTCATGGCAGGAGACATCTTTGAACTTTAGAGTAAGTCATGGGTTATTAGGTGAGCTTTGCATATGTTGGTTGTTTAATGTGGGGTTCCGGCCCGACTGGACACACTGCTGTAGGAGGGTTTCACCACCTCTTCCATAATCACAGCAATGGTGTGGCACAGCTCTTTCGCCTGGGAGACACGAGAGATCAAAAATAAGAGCAATCTCATTAATCAAAAACAAAATATTAATAAAACCAGCTCTTGAAAATGACAACATGTATATATTGTATTTATCCATGACCTTTATCTACATACGAACCTGCTTTAGACTGAAGCTGACAGTCCTGGGTTGAGTTTGGCCACTAAAGCTGATCTCAACTGATGGCAGCTTGTCTTTCTTGGGACGGATTGTGCGCAAGGACTGCATGTCCTCCAGAGACATTGTCAAACATGCGTTCTGCAAAGTTTGTGATTCTTTAGTTGTGGTCGGGTATGGTTAAAACACACAATTAAGATCAAAACATCATGGGAACTGAACAAGGATGTCATACCTGTGATTTGGGATCAATGATTTTGATAACATTATGGCTGACTGCAACCAGGGAGGGAGAGGGGCAGCTGCGATGACTTACTTTCTGAGCAGTGAATACATCAAATCCAAAGAAAGGCAGCAAACTGACACTTTCTGGAAAGTTGAAGAGTTTGTTTATATGGATAAGGATGTGAAATCAATTACTGAAATGGTTTAACAGCTGTCTGGAAACATTTAGACAGATTTGTTCACTCACTGATAAAGCGAGCTTTGGCATCAAGATGGCCGAGGGGGCCTAAGGTAGAAAACTGTGCCCGTATAGTAGCAAGAAGTCTTTCGTCACTGGAGTTGAGCCGATCCATCCGGGGAAGATACTGCTTTACCTCAGAGCTGAAGATGAAAATTGATTACAAATAAATAAGTGTCAGATTTAAACCAAAGATTAGAATGTCAGTCAAAATGACTGTAAGTTTCATTGAAAGATTTAGGGATAAGAAATCACAAGGTTTGAGATATATAAAATTACTTGGAAGGTAAATCAGTCAGCCCAAGGGCAAGGTGTTGAAGAGCGGTCAACTCTGCCACCTGCTGGTAGATTGTAGAGCCGTTCATGGGCAGCAACAGCCTCCCTCCCAGATAATTAGCCAAAAGCTAAAAAACATAAGATGGCATCCATCATACAATACATGAAAATGATAAATATATAAATAAGACTGATAAGATTTTTTAATGTTTTTGAAATAAGTCTCTTATGCTCACCAAGGCGATATTTATTTGATCAGAAATACAGTAAAAATAGCAATATTGTGAAATATATTATTACAATTTATAATAATGTTTTATTTAAAAATATTTAAAAATGTAATTATTTTTAAAAATCTTTTGTAGCAATATAAAATTTACAGACACCAAACTTTTGAATAGTAGTGTATACATTTTAAGATATATATCTTGAAATCTTGGATATTCATTAATGTAAAACGGGTTGTGTTATTACTTTAATATTTGACATAATAATGAATTCAAAAGTGACTGTTTTTGTACCAGCTGGTAGTGGAACTCCAGACAAAGATCATTGTTAAACTGGAGTGGCTGTTTCCAGATTATTCGATGAAAGGAGAGGGAGATGGAGCCATCATCCAGCAGGAAGTCAAACAGATACTCATCAGAGTGAATTGGGCGTGTCCATTCACCTAAAGAGAGGGATTCATGGTAAAAAAAAACAAAAAAACAAAAACAGTGTGTGTTCATCTGAGCATAAGAGTGACTAAAGATATCTTACCTCCTTTCCTAGTGGCATGGATGGAAAATTCCTTCACTTCTGCTGGATTTATGATGCCCATCTCAGTGCAAAAGTCTTGTACCACCTCAAATGCAACCTACAGAAAAGCATAATAGCACTTCATGTAGACAACACATTATCTAAATAGAATAAAAATAGAAAGAGCATCCCTCACTTACACTAAAGCTGCGAATCTTGCAGGAAAATTTGTTTCCACCAGGCAGCATGATGGGCAGCCGACGAGAGTTCCTCCCAGCCTGCATGTGATTCAGATATCAGGGCAAAGAAACCCATTTCACATGCTTTCATCTTCTCTGTTCAACATATTTTCTTCACTTACCAAAATGGCCTCCATCTCTGAATGTGAAGGGATGTGCCTGCGTCCTCCAAAACTGAGTGACCGCCTGAGATTCTTCATGCACACACTTGCCAGTTCTATATACAAATATTATATTCACAAAACCCATGCAAACACAAAAACAGCCATTATTGTACATTAAATTAGGTTCAAATGACATTCTAATCAGATTGTATAACAAAACCCACATATGACGTAATCTTGGCTCATATTGGTGGGGTCACTGAAGCAAGTCTACACTACAAATACAGTACAAGATGTTAGGGGAATACTGTACCTTGAAACGGGTGGTTGGCATCTTGAATGATGGCCTCCAGGTGGCGGGTGCAATATGGCAGGAGAGTGTTGGAACAAGGGAAGAATCCAGTCACCAGATTGAACAAACGCCAGCCACGGGTGCAATTCTCCCTACAAAATCAGCAAACAATATGCACATTCAAAAGTTTAGGGCCAGTAAAATTTGAGAAGTCATTAATGACTACAAAGTTCAAAAGAGCAACATTTATTTGAAATTGTTTTGTAACATTGTAAATGTCTTTACAGTCACTTTTTATCAATTTAATGTGTCCTTGCAAGTATAAAAAACAAACAAAACAACTTACTGACCACAAACATTTGAATGGTAGTGTACACATATTATTTACTCACTTGACTGGGTTTTTGGTAGTCTGCTTGATGACCTGACAGTAGATCTCATCCCTGAGGAACTCTTTCTCTTTTCCCAGCTGAACCAAAACAAGTTGTCGTGTTATAGATCATGTATTCTGTAAATTCACAATACCTCTCAAAAAATATGCTGTAGATTTGGAGGGAGCACTTACCTTGTGTCCTTGCAAGTATAAAAAACAAACAAAACAACTTACTGACCACAAACATTTGAATGGTAGTGTACACATATTATTTACTCACTTGACTGGGTTTTTGGTAGTCTGCTTGATGACCTGACAGTAGATCTCATCCCTGAGGAACTCCTTCTCTTTTCCCAGCTGAACCAAAACAAGTTGTCGTGTTATAGATCATGTATTCTGTAAATTCACAATACCTCTCAAAAAATATGCTGTAGATTTGGAGGGAGCACTTACCTGCAAAATGAAGTTAACAAAGTCACTCTCTGTCTGATTTTTCTTCATAGGCTGATCCAACATAAACTGCATCAAAACTACAAAGAGATTGTTGTGTCAAATACTTGTTCTCTGGAATACTTGACTCTGATTGGTCAATCTGTGATCAAATATTTTGGTATATAAACTGAATATAATGACCGCTTTCCCAAGCAACCAATTTTATATATAGCCATGCATGCTTCTTAATTTAAAGTCAAATCAATAATTAATGTTTGTTTATTTTATATTACATATACATTTATTTTATTTTAATTTATATATTTAATGTATTTATCAATGTGGTAAATAGCCATGTATGGTAATAAGTGGGATACTATACAGTTATTCTCTCAATCTTGCGAATAATAAACCCTTTCAGGCTGGTAAAACCAAACTTGTACACATAAAAGACTTTTTTGCTTCTCATTGGGGTCCTGATTTTATTTTACATGACCCACTGACTGTACATTATCCCAGGGATCCCAAAATGTATGCTGTTATAATGGATGAGTTTACAGTATGTCTATTTGTCAGTACGTTAGTTCACTTACACATGAAGTTTTGAGCACCCAGACGATTGAGATCATTGTCTGAGAAAAGGATCAGTGATTCCTGAATGGGATTCTAATAAAAGAAAACACAGCAAACAAAAACATTTAAACAAATGTATAAAATCCCAGCATGCATCGAGTGAGAGACTAAGAGATGCATACATACTGGAGTATATTCCACCATCTCATTAAGACTTTTGTCTTTGTTTGTTCTGAAAAAAGAGAAATAAATCAATGTCAAGTGGAGTTTGTGAAGTATGATGCAAACTCCTCTGCTTTCCAGAAGATTTCACCTGTTGATAGCATCTGTGAAGAACTTCTTGGCAAACTCAGTCATGATATACTTCTGACGTTCTGATTCAGATCTCTGGATGAACCCCACTTCCACACTGTATTCACTGCCAGCCACTGAGCGGGTAACAGGGGTGTTGGAAACGGAGCCACTGACAGGCATGTTGGTGACAGGGCCATTGAGGGAAGAGCCGGTCAGTCTCATACTCTTTTTCCGCTCAAGCTGCCGCTCCATGTTGCTGCTGTGGTAGTCTGGTGGGGCACAAGGCTGAGTGACGTCCACCGGAAGGAGTCCAGAACGGCCCCCACTGGAACCAAACATCCATCCTGCAAAGATAAAAAAACACAATAGTAAACACCTTTTAGGTTTTATGCTAAAAGTAATTTTCAATATACAAACATGTCACACTTTTTGCCTTTTTTTTTTTTTTTTTTAAATATCGTGCATAAAATGCTCCTTACTAACAAATATGTGTCCTGTGCTATTCTGACAGGCCTAATAAATTAATCTAATTGTATCCTTAGTGTATTAACAAATTAGAAAGCCTGTTTTTAACGGTCAGACATGTAAACTATTGGCTCAACCAATGGCTTTTTTTCCCCATTTAGAATTTTTTTTGCGATTCTGTGTCGCTATGGAGATCCACAATCTGAAACTGTTTTCTCAGGTTCTCTTCTCACCGTCCTTGAGGCCGTCCATGTTCAGGATTTTGATGACGTCACCTCTGTGAAAGGACAGCAAGCTCTTGTCATCTGTCACATAGCTCTTCACAGCGATCACATAGTCTGAGTTCTGCAAATACAGAATCAGTCAATTTTATAGCAAAGAAAATTAAGATGCACATTTATCGTTGTTTGGCACATTTTTGTGAGTGAAATGAAGAAATAATTTCATTAGGAATCCACACAATCTGGAATTTCATATTAGGACAAAAGATTTCCCCAAGCAAATTTCACAACAGGTTTAAGTTGTTCACACAAATTCGCTGCAGTGACCAGCAGAAACCTGCATGATTTGAAAGTGACTTCTGTGTGACGATAAACAAATTATCTTTCTGCCCACGAAAATTCACTAAAATTAGTGATAAGAGTGATAAGAGAACTGAATCATGCATGACAAATGTAAAATGCCCAAAAAAAAGAGATCATGATACATAACAATAGTTAAAGTCATGGTTAAAGTCAACATGAAACCGCAACCCATTTTACGTATGTAATGTAGTGAAAGAAATAGGAAATTAAATTAAAAAAAATATATATGGTGGGATTTAATCCTTTGGCAATTGTTTGGATTGTGAAAAGAAGGTTTTGTATACCAGAATGGAGGTGGTTGAAGGAGAGGGGTTGAGAAATTGAAAAAGAGAGCCTGAGTTGTTTCAGAGGCTGACCAAATTCTATTTTTTTTAAACTTTTTTCCTTATGAATAAAATGTACTGAATTGACCATTCCTTATAAGACCATGAATGTGTATTAAGAAAGTTAATAGGGTCAGGTACGTTGACTTTAAATGAAAAAATAAAGCTACATGTGTTAAGGTTAGTATCACAAGATTTAAACTGAGCACCGTAATCAGCTCCATGAGGAAGAGATGAATCACAGCAGCGATCTGTGGTGCCTGTTGAGAGTGAAGTTCCAACTCCTCATTACTCAAAGTGATCACGACTTTTCCAGCCCCTTGCTGCTGTACTGACAAAACCTGTGAAAAACTGAACAGTAAAAAAACATATAGTTATATAAACTGCAACCCTATAGAATATTTTATACTACTCGTCAAATGTTTGGGGTCAGTGGGGTCACATTAAAAAAAATCCAAACCCCAAACATTTGAGCAATAGGGTAATAAAAAATGTAAAAAGCATGCTTCAGCCAGATGTTCTGTACCTGTAGCTGTGGAGCAGTTTGAGGTGTTCGGGGTTTATGCCTGAAGCTCTGGCCACCTTCAGCAGTCTGATTCCTCTATGCGACACTCCCAGAATCTGAGCATCTCCTCCGTTCCCCACCTGTGAAGCACACATGCAAAAACATTTCTGAGTGCTTAACAAATTTCTGTATGCATGTTTCTGTGCATTATGTACGTAAGAAAAGCCAAGTATTTCACCTTCACATTAAAGAGACGTGCAAAATAATTGGACCAGTTGTCTCTTGCAGCCATGACAATTCTTTTCTTCATAGCATCATCTAGTGAACTGATACTGGTTCTGATATGGAAGCTCGCTGGTAAGAGAAAAACAAAGAGATACAAAAAAAACTAACTGAGTTGTCCATAATAGTTTATCTGAATTATTATTAGACAGGTACATGGTTTCAGATTATTAAAAAACAGCATCTGTCATACCCAAAAGGTCTTTCATTTTACGCCTTTCTTCACGTGAAATCCTCGGACAAGAATCTGAGTAAGTGTCTCGCATGATCTGCAGTTTACAAAAACAGTAGACAATGTGTGGCCCAGAATTTGATATATACAAAATAATATAAAATATATTAGTTTTTGCATTGTATACAGAACAAATGCAATGCAATGTTTGCTATGTTTGCTACTGACCTGCTCACAGAGTAAATTAAGTATGTATGGGTGGTTGAATTTTTCCCTGGGATAAAACAGCTGCGTACAAGAAAGCACAAATACAGTGAGTATACTGTACATAAGTTAGCCAGAAGCAGCCGTGATAACCTTTGTAAGGGTCATGCAAAGTCACATCAAACTGTCTTGACTTAGTTACCTCCTTGCGCAGGAAGAGTTTGCCAGGCATACTGGGGTAGGAAAAGTAAACGCTGGCAGAGAATCTGTGCAATTGGGAGCGAACACTCTCCTCCTCAGCCATCCTGTTGAACTGATCTTTAGAAACACATAAAGGGTAGGATTACATTAGCAAATGCGATCTGTTTACCTTAGTATTTGAAATTTAGAGATAGAAAGCTGCACAGCTTGCTTCAAATTTGCATGTCTTTTTAATTTATATGAATATCTCTGTGCTGCAAATTAAAGTATTGTGATCTATACAAATATCCTCAAGACAAGACATTTGCTTGAATTGTTTTTATTTAAAAAAAAAAAAAAAAACACTTGGAAAATTTCTTAATAATTTTGCAGTTTTTCTATTAGACAGAAGGAAAAAATGAAGAAACATTTCCTTAATATATTTTTAAATTTCTTCATAAATTGTTATGCATTATCTCTTACTCAAAACATAAAAAACAAATAAAAATGTTATTAGTTTCAAATACATATATACAGTACATAATACATATTTATACGTAAAAACCTTCAATTAAAATTGACAAAAATTTCCAGTTAATTTTAATCTTAATAAATTACTATATTTTCAACATCTAGAATATTTTGATTACAGGAAGAAAAAATAAAACTTCTGACTTACTTCTTAATAATTTTTTTAAATTTCTTTAAAAATTGCCAGTTTTCAACACCAGGAATATTTTGATCAGAGAAAGGGAAAAAAGAAGAAACACCTGAAATATTTCTTAACAAATTGTCAGTCTTTTATTTTAATGCATAGCACCTGGCGGCATTAGAAAAATGATAAAATCCACTCAAACCTAAAACGTTGTGAATTATTTAATTTCACCCCATGTTCAGTTAATTGTGCTAATTATGGTTAAAGAAAACTAAGTAATATGATTTCAATATTTTAATATTTAACCCATTATATTATGACTTATTTGACCTACTAAGTGTACTGCATATATGTTAGAAGTGACTCATATAAATTATTTGAGAATCACTTACTAGGTCCAGGTGGAGACATCAGTGGTGGGTCGGGGATGCTGGGAGATGGAGGAGGGATGGGCTCACGAGCTCGAGGCAGAGCATGCGAACGCTGCGAGCCGAAGAGATCAGCTAGTGAACGCTGCTTCTGTTTCATATCGTTAGAGATGGCACGAGGACCATGGGACTCAGGGGGCTGGGGGGGTGAAGGAGGCTTCTCTTCCCACTGTTTCTGCAGCACAAATAATACAGAAAAGATTCATGGTCAACTTCTGCATCCTTGACTTTGAACTTTGAGCTCAAAAAGTTTATTATGGCTTGTCACTCAGGTCGGTATCATCTACCTTCTGCTGAGTGACAGGTCCCTGAGATTTGAGAATGGCCAGCGCCTCATCTTTGGGGTCATTTTTCTTTAGAAATTGCTTGGCCGGAACCCTGTGATGATCAAAGTCCACATTATTCCTCCTCTTACAGTCTAGGAATCACTCCAAGTGAAAAGGTCAAAGCAACATAATATTATGCAAGAGTTCAGTTTACAGCAGAGGCTGCATTAAGTCAGTGTGAATCACAGTTAGCAACCCATTTTACTTCCGTAGCACAACATATTTCAAAGCGAAACAGGACACGTCACGAGAAAAAAAAGGGCAGGGCTTGGGTTTATCCATTGAGAATTCATTGGATCATGAAAAGTGGTCTCTAGGTGGAGCAAGGTCTTGCTTTATAATAATTCAGGTCAATTCTAGACCCACCTGACAGGCTCGAAGGCTTTAGGTTCTGGAGAGGGCCGGCTCTGGTACTGCTTGATGATCTCTCTAATTTTACTAGTAGGTTCTGGTTTAGGAGATGTCGGTTCTGGAGATTCTGGTTCTGGTTCAGGTTCTTGGATGTTAGGAGGTACTGGGAGTGGATTTACTGTGTGAAGAAGAGTTTATGAACTTCAAGACACATTATTTTGGATGATGGCTTTATATAGTAACACACTATAATCTTAAAAAAGACATATTAATGACTTGAGTTTAAATTTAAATAAAACATTTATCACAAAAACTTAGTTCTAGGTGTTGTGACAAACGTCTGACCTTCAGTCTTTATTGGTGGAGGTGATTTGGGTTGGGTCACCGGTGGAGTGGCGTATATCAGTGGCTTAGCAACCTTTGACGCAGGCTTTGGGCGTGCTTCTAACAAACATGAGATGCATAAAGATAGTGAAAATCGTATCTTTTATGCAATTTTATTTTAGCCATTTTAAGGATTTTCTTTGACAGTGTGCACTCACCAATCTTTTGAAAAAAATCCCTCTTATCTTGAAAGGACCCTTGATCTTCCAGGGCCTTGTGATCTAACTCTGTCTCAGGCTGTGCATTAAAGAACAAATTAATTCATTGTAAAAATCTGAAGCGTAAACATAAAGTTAAAGAAAACACAGGCACTGGTCAGTATTGTGCTTGTACCTCTGGCCTGCGGGGCTTTGGAAAGGTCTCTGGAGCTTTTTGGGGGGTCTGAGGGATGGTTCTTTCTACCTGGGGACGTCTTCGGGGTTTGGGTGAGGGTGAGCGTGAAGGTGAACGTGCACGTGGAGGAGAGCGCCGCCGCTGACGTGGTGACTGTCTCTGTGACTCCTTTTCGCGTTTTCGCACCTCTTCCTGCTGCTGCTTCTGTGGACTACAGCGTTGGTTTCCGGGCTATTAAAAATAATTTGTAAATATATATATATATATATTTTTTTTCATATATTTATTTTTAGTTTAAATTATTCTACTAAAACTGCCTCTATGACAAATTGCTTGTGATGTTTCTCATTTGTAAGTTGCTTTGGATAAACGGGTCTGCTAAATGGATAAATGTAAAAGTATGGTAAATATATAAATATTGTGTAAATAAAGTGTTTAAATTCAGCAATCTTGTCTACATCTTATTTGTTACCATTAAATTGTATTATATTTATCAGCATTATATTGGCCTCACTGCTCTCTAAATATCTGTATCACCATCAATCAATCACTACACACTAATTAAACAGATATACAATCTGTACCTGCTCCGGCGTACATGCTGGGCATCATGCCTCCTCCTCCTCTCATTCTACGATTCAGCATGGCCATCTGTTCAAAGTCCTACCAATAAAAAAAACAAATAAAAATGCACATAAGACCTCTGCAGGCCAGCCCTCAACGATAAAATGCAATACAAGTAGATCTCAGAGTTAATAAGTGCCAAAGCTATGTAATCTTCGCTGGCTTAATGAATGTTAACAATATATCTGTGTAGCCTAGTGATAAGAACATGTGCACCGACATGTTGAGCTGTGCTGCTCATGCAGGTGACATGAGTTTGATTCATGACTTGTGTTCCAACTCTACAAATGTAAAACAATATATAAAAAAATGTATAAATATCAAAACATCTACAGTGGCATTTATTTTAAAGAAAGACAGCACAAGTACACTTTTCATTTATACTTCACTAAAAGAAGTTTAATAGGTTTTAAATGATAAATTAACAGATATATTGCTCAGTTGCTATAAAATAATGACTTTTTATTCAAAGTAGCTGCCAGTTTGACTATAAACTGTACAATAATGTTGATGTATTTGAACTGGATGATACTGACCCCAGGACCCTGATCAAACACAGGATCAAAAAGGTCATCAACGTAAGAATCCATCTGTCGACCACGAGATCCTAAAAGAAAGATTGTTTCAGGAGTGTCCTTTATAAAGTCAGAGTGAAACCGTCATTTTATTTACTCTACAGGGTGAGCCCGTTCCCAACCCTCATACTGTAGCTTTCATTCACTTTGATTTCTTTCATCATCCCTCTGCAAATCTATGCAACAGAACAATGACTCAGAATTTACTGTCTGTTTCCTAGTAATGGTTGGACACTCACCCTGGGATGTGGAAGAGGGTTCATAGGTGTCCCATGGGTATGCTTCAAAGGGTGGGAGACCAGGGGCTTGCATAGGGGGAGCAGGAGGTATAAAGTCATCCAGATCTGTAGTTGCCATCCTGACAAGAGAAAATTAATCATTAAAGGAATTAAACTGTAATTTGACAGTTTCCTTTGATTTAACTGTCAGCACTGAGCTCTACAGAGGCGTACCTGTCACCTGTGTTGCCAAAGAGGTAATCGGTTTGAGTGGGTGGGTGACCCAGGGGCACATCAGCCTCCACTCCAGCCAAGAGATCCATTACAAAGTCACAGCCTGCCAGGTCGGTCCAACCCTCCCCAGCCAGCAGAGACACAGACCAGCCCCGTGTAGCTTCAGTCAGACCCCTGAGAGAAAGAAATATGACTTAAAAATGATTCTGAACTCTCAGGAACGTAACACTACATAAAGCACCACTCACCATCCACAAACACTGCTTGCTTGTTTATGGCACTCTAATAATTACAACAAGGGTGAATCTCATATAAAAAAAACGATTACTTACAGTTTATTTACATATTACATCATTACATATTAAATAATTCTGTTTTATATATTGCATATAATATATAGTGTATATTGCAATTAAAATAGGTTTATTTAATATTTTAATTTTAAATATATAATAGTTTAATTGATTTAATTATAATTAACGAAATTATTTAGTATATAACATATAATATTGCATTTTATTGTATAATGATTAAATATATATCAATTTTACCATACACAAAAATTGAATTAACTAACCCTAATGATATAAAAACATTAAACTGTAGCAGATCGGCCAGGCTCCGCCACCACCCAATCACAACGATCCCTCTCACCTGAGTTCTGAGCACCTGCACCTGTCACCAATCAAGCACCTCATTACCAGCCTGCATAAAAGCACATTCTCCTCCAGTGCAATCTCACATTTACGATGCAACCGCACTCATATCCCACCGACACCTCTAAAATTGCTTTTATTATCTCCCTGCTAACAGGACCTGCATTGCGATGGGCGGAAACGATCTGGACTCAGGCCAGCCCCGTTATTCACAATCTGCTGAACTTCATGGTGCATTTTCGCGAGGTGTTTGGAAGGACAGACGGAGATGCCGCTGTGGGAGAGCAACTCTACCACTTACAACAGGGGACCATGTCAATTGCCGAATACTCGCTGAAGTTTAGAATTCTCGCTGCGGCGAGTGGATGGAATGAGAGCTCGCTAATGACCACCTACAGACAGGGGCTGAAACCCCAGCTTCGGTTACAGCTTGCACAGAGGGACTCATCTTGAAAAATTCACAATGTGAGCCAGGACTAAATGTAGTCTTCGAGAAAGCGAGGAGGAGCATTCTGACAGTTGACAGATCCATTTGTGGTCAGTAGCTCTGTCATAGTTTGACAAGAAGGAAAAAGAAGTGATGTGTAACAGATCGGCCAGGCTCCGCCACCACCCAATCACAACGATCCCTCTCACCTGAGTACTGAGCACCTGCACCTGTCACTAATCAAGCACCTCATTACCAGCCTGCATAAAAGCACACACCTCAGACACCCTCACTGTCCGGTCTCGTATACACGTAGAGGACTCAATGACTTTGCTACTGAATTCCTTTGAATACTTCTTGCATTACTTACCTCCTGTGTTCCTCCTAGTGTCTCCTCGTCTCCAAGTGTCTCCTGTATCTCCTAGTTCCCGGATCGCTGAGGTGTGTGCTTCCCCCGGATACCTTCCAGCCTCAATCAAGCCAAAGACTCGGATTACTCCACTCTCCATATCCTTTGCACTCTCTCACGGACCTTTCCCTCACCATCACTTCCTCCGGACTCGACACCAGTACTCACTGTGACCTAATAAACTGTTTTATATATAAACTAACCTGTTGTGTCAGACCTCTTCCGTAACATAAACAAGCTTACCAACCCCAAATGTTTGAACAGTAGTGCATATTCAAATTTCTCAGTGATATAATATAATTATATAATTACTCTTTGTTTTTCTTTAGATTTCGGATACAAATATGTCCCAAAATAAAACCTAGAAAGAAACTTCTATTGATGCCACTTTATATAAATACATACATACGTCAAATTTTGTTGCATTATAGCAATGAAAAATCTGCCTAATTTTCATGAACATGTCACAATGCAAAATATTTTCTCAAGGTCTTAAAATATAAAAAAATATGGGAATAAATATAACCTGGGCTGCGTTTCTCGATAACGATTGATCTTAGCGCTTAAGAGCATTTACGAGTCAATTTACGATCGTTCGTTATTGTTTCACATGCGTTTCCCAAAAATGTACTTAACACAATCGCACGTAGCCGTACTTTAAGTGATACTTACGAGTTGCTATCCGTTTGTCAAGTGCTGAAATGTCACCTTATAGAATGGCTAGTAATTGTAGTACTACACGCTCGTTTATTGAAATGTTAACCTAATGCTGTGTTCCAGACAACTCGGATATAATAACTACAATACAATATTATATTATATTATATTATAGTGTATAATATTATACTTTACATAATAATATATTACTTACTTTATACATAGAGAGAGAGAGAGAGAGAGACGTTATTTCCGGGTCCAATACATGGCTGGTGCACGTCAGCAAGTCATTGACAGATTTTTTTCCCAGTCTTTGAAGCATATTTCCTACATTACTTCTTTTATTTATTTATTTATTTTGTTCAGTCATTTAATTTAGGTGTGTATTTCTATTTTTCTGCCCTGCACTTGAATAAAGTTAAAGGCGTAATCTGCCGATTGTCCTGCAGGTGACCGGATAAATCTGTCTTCTTACGATGCACTTAAGGCTTTACGATTACTCCAGAGCACTCGTAGATCTACGATGATTTTCAAGTGCTACTTAAGTTACGATGATTTTGGGAAACAGACCGTAATATTAAGATCAGTCGTACGATCATTTTTACGAACTTCTTAGGCTTACGAAGCTTTTGGGAAACGCTGCCCTGGTTGTTTTTTTGTGAGACATCTTTATCTATTAGCTACCTGTAGCTAAGAAGCCAAGAGGCCAGTTGTTCCCCTGAGGTCCAAGACTCCACTTCCACAGTTAACCTTTCCTCTGAAAAATAAAAACAGCCAACATTAAATAACTGGAATACTTTCACAATACATTCATACTCCAATATATTTAATATCATTTATTCTCTTAAAATGAACAGTGCAAATGGGAATCCAATATTATTGCTCATTACAGCTCATCAGCTCAGTTTTCTAAGAAAACTACAGTCCTTACCATTGAAAGTGTTAACCTCCACCACCATCTTTCCTTTTCTCTGATTGGCTGTCCACTCGAGTTGACTCGGAGGGTGTCGTCTGCAGGCAGGGAAGGGGAGCTGGAGGGATGTGAGGAGCTTGTGCTGGCACAGAGAGCGGTACTCCTCTGGACCTCGGTCAGACACGTACCTGACAATCATAATACATACTTTTTTAAATTCTGCTGATAAGCAATAGCTGTACAGAAAGACTGGCTTGTGTCTGCAATTATTTATCTATTGATCACTATGAAATTTGACTTTCTAACTCCATCACATTTCATTGGGACAATTTGTCTAGTTTATTTAGCAAATGTTAATTTGTATATTCAGTCACTGGCAATGTTATATCAGTCAATAACATTACACTAATAATCACTTCTTGTTCTAAAGACCCCGCTTTTGCATTTGTAATACTATAACTGAAGACGTACTTAAGGAGGGGTTTCTCCAAGGCAGGAGAGGGTGTGAAGGCACTCAGACAGCAGGCCAGGAGCAACCAGCCCCGCAGGGTACTCTCCTCATTATCCCCGTCCCAAGTGTGGTACACCAGCTGAGCTAGAATCTCATCTCCGATGCTGGGCTGTGATTGACTCTTCTCCACGATGTAGTTCCCCAACATCTGCTCTTGCCATCCAGTCAGATCAGAGTCACCTGTGAAACGCAGGATCTAAAGAAGAACGTAGACACGTAAGGATTCATTTAAATTCTGACATTTCATACCCGGTTAAAGGTTTATGTTGATTTTCTGTGGTAAAAGATCCATTAAAAATACTACTGACCAGTTTGTAGATTTCTAGAGCTGTACGGGCATCATCATAGTCCAGAGAAGTCAAAGGCTTCTGAAGCGGGAAACCCTGCGGTTGGCACCATCCATCCTAAAGGGAAAAAGCATATAACTGATATAACAAACGCATGAAAACTGTATATGAATTGGAAGACCACAAAACTAAAAAATGTTCTACTGTATGTTTTTCATCGTCTACCTTCAGGACTGTGTTGGCATATTGGGAGAAAGGGTATCTGTTAATGTCTTGGGGCAGTGAGAGGTTGTGGTCTGCTTTGACCTGCGGCAGAGCTACTTCTGTTACTCCTGATCCTTGAGGACGTCCTGAAAGCCATCATTGTAAAATGTGAATATAAATATTGCATGATGGTTTTCTTATGTTGATGGACACTCATCAGTCCATCAACATAAGCAATACAGTTTTTACCCAAAAGCAATGCAGTTTAATTATATCTATCTATAACTTAATTTGAGTGTGAACAAGGTCAATCAGTCTAAAACTGAATACTTTTATTCAGGATGCATTAAATTAATCCAAATTGACAGTAAGGACATTAATAATGTTACAAAAGATGGGCTGCTTATATCCATCAAAGAATCCAGACTTACTTTAAACTGCAATCATATTTCACAATATTCCTGTTTTTACTGTATTCTTGATCAGCTTATAAAAGCAGCTTTGGTGAGCATTACTGACTTTTTTTTAACTGTAGATATTCAAAATCTTCAAAATCAGCTGCTGGTGAATTTAAAAAAGTTAGAAAACACCTTTCAGTATCTTGAGTTCAGTATAGTTTCACATGGTCAAACCACTGAGAAAATTGTAAACAGGTTGCTATAGGAAAATTGTTAATCAAAGTTACTTTGATGAAAAAAAATCTCCACTGTCTCTTGATTTCATCATTCAATTTTGAGAAGCTAAGAAAAAAGTTCACATTTTACTTTTAGGCCCTTATATAAATAAATATGGAAACCATTTTTAAATGAATATGGAAAGTACTTTTTACAGTACTTTCAAGTGTTTGATCAATCACTTTGTCTTTTGATTGAGCAAAATTACACAATACCTATACTTCAATTTAAGTATAGTACTTTTTATTGTTAACAAGTATCAAGGATCTCACCTGCTGCACTGCGTAATCGGGCCGATAGTTCTGCCGGGATCTCCAATATTCCCACATCCTTCAGGAAAAACATATTTTATTCTTTTGTGTTGTTCAAAATTAATTTTTAACTCTGAAGTGACCGGTTAAAGGGGTCATATGATGCGATTTCAATTTTTCCTTTCTCTTTGGAGTGTTACAAGCTCTTGGTGCATAAAGAAGATCTGTAAAGTTGCAAAGACTAAAGTCTCAAATCCAAAGAGATATTCTTTATAAAAGTTAAGAGATCTAAAACGGCTCGTTCTAACACGCCCCCAACATATCTACCACACTATGTGGGAAGATTTGCATAACACCGCCCAAATGTTCACGCAAAGAAAGAAACGCTCTGGCCTGACAGGGCATCATCACAGTATGGTAGGGGTGTAACATTTCAGTCACATGCTTGAGGTATTCGGCCAATCACAATGCACTGGATAGCTGGCCAATCAGAGCACACCTCGCTTTTTCAGACTGATGAGCTTTGTAAAAATCGACGCGTTTCAGAAAGGCAGGGTACAGAGGAGCAACAATAATGTACATTATGTGGAAAATAATGTGTTTTTTGAACCTTAAACCGCATAAACACATTGCATTACACCAAATACACAACATAATGTTCTTTTTAGCAACGTCATATGACCCCTTTAAATTATGTCCAAGTCCATACAAATCAGATGCTCAAAGACCTTGAGCACACAAGTCAAAACAAAATAAAATAAAAAAATCTATAAAAATGAAAAGATTCAGAGTGTCTCACCATCTCTGAAGAGGAAGATGTAGGTTTTGCTGCTTCCTTCACTCTGGTTCTATCAGTATGTTCCTGATCAAATCAAAATACAAACAAAAACACAATCTAAGATTAAAAAAAAAAAAAAAAAGTTTAATATCAAGCCACCCTCTGTCCATTTGCATATTGTAGTGTTTCATTCCTTCTTGACTGAACAATGGGACATTTATTTTGTAAAGCTATTCCACTCTTTTATTCTATTACCTGTCCACAGCATCGTATGCAAAGGTAAACAGAACTATTCTTAGCAGCTGGCCTTCTTTTATATCCTAGGAAGACCCTCCCTCGACTCGCTCCTCCCCAAACAAAAGAATTACATGAAATATGAGTCATCAAACCCATTTTTATCTTATAATTTAGTATTATCATTGTGTTTGATTGGCCTTTTCGGTTTTGTGTATGATTGTTGCCAGAAAGCAGTGTGCAGAAAATAAGGTTACTGATTTTTACATATTGTAGAAACAAATCTGGGAGTATTCTGGAGTGTTGCCACCAGATACTTTTTGCCTATTCCAGCAAACCACTTTTATACTAAATAAATTAACTTTTATTGGACAAGCAAAAATATAATCATACAAAATATACACAAAGCTGCTTAACCCACTGAATGAGGATCACGTCACAAACCAGTCTTACCACAAGTGCATAACAATTACTTCAAAGTGATTTGACAGCAGAGTACATGACAGCTGAGGAGGACATAGTCCAAACTGTATAAAACAATGATGGGTAACAAGCAAACAGAACTGAAAGTAGCAGGTTATATAACTTAGTGGATCATTTAAATATAACTCACTACCAGTCAAAGGTTTGGACTGACTTTATGCTTCTGATGAACATAATAATTGCTTAAATGCTTGAAATCAGTTTTTTTTGTTGATAAATTTAAATTGAATTTGTTTACAAAAATAACATTTTTATTCATATTCTTTTTAACAGATGATTTGGACCTCAGAGAAAAGCGGCCAATAAGTGTCCAGCATACATGGGAACCATTTAAAACATCCCATGATGCTGAGAGAGCATGTGAAGAGTTGTCATCTAGAATATTTTAACATAATTCCCATATATCCATGTGTTTTCTAATAGTTTAAAAACTGTAACATTATTCTACAATACTGAAAATAGTAATAATATTAAATGAGTAAGTATATCATTGTAAGTATAACATTTTTTTAAGTATAACAATTTTGACTGGTAGTGTAAAGTGTAAGAAAAAAAGAACCTTTCAGATGTACATTTAAAATCTTTTTCCAACATATAAGATCACATTAAACAATCTTAAAGTCTTATATTACTGATATAATCTCTTTCTTATTTTCCGCCCTGAATTCTCTCTGTATCATTAATCTTTCTGTTTGCTATTAGCATGTGTAATATGGATAACAGCATACATGGGAACCATTTAAAACATCCCATGATGCTGAGAGAGCATGTGAAGAGTTGTCATCTAGAATATTTTAACATAATTCCCATATATCCATGTGTTTTCTAATAGTTTAAAAACTGTAACATTATTCTACAATACTGAAAATAGTAATAATATTAAATGAGTAAGTATATCATTGTAAGTATAACATTTTTTTAAGTATAACAATTTTGACTGGTAGTGTAAAGTGTAAGAAAAAAAGAACCTTTCAGATGTACATTTAAAATCTTTTTCCAACATATAAGATCACATTAAACAATCTTAAAGTCTTATATTACTGATATAATCTCTTTCTTATTTTCCGCCCTGAATTCTCTCTGTATCATTAATCTTTCTGTTTGCTATTAGCATGTGTAATATGGATAAATATTAAACACTACCTACCTAGGATGATATTAAAACAAACGTAGCCGTCCCCATGTAAAGTGCTCTTTAACTGATGAAATTAGTTGAAATCCAAACACAAGAGAAGTGGTGCTTAGGTGGGACTTTGCAGGAATGAGAGAAAGAAAGTGAGGAAAAAAGAGAGAGAATCTAGGATCAAAGATGAAAGGGCAGGCGGGCGGGTGGATCTCACCTCACCTAACTCTGACATTTCTTACATGTGTACACACTCTTAAATTGGCCATGACGCACTAGAGATCAAACATGCTACATGAATCAGAAAATAAACATAATTCTATTAATAATGGATTTTTTATTTTTGCATAATGTGTAGTTATTTGTTTGTTTGTTTTTTACAAGAAATTAATAAAAAATGAATGAAAAGCACCACACTTTTATATTTAATTTGAAATGAAATTTGAATTATTTTCCTATAGAGGTTGAGTAATAGGAAATGGGTGCCATTCTAAGAGCGATAAACTGAATGTCACAATCTCATAAATTCACTCAGCACACAAACGGGTCCAAAGTCCTTTCAAAGAGTAAAATATATTATAAGACTCATAATTTATGATGCAAGTTCACAATCTGCCCTTACACGTAATGTAAGGAAACAGCAATCAATAAGCAGTGGCTCTTGAGACACATGACTAACTTGGAAATGTATTTGACTGTCATTGCATTAGATAATAAAATATAAAACCGGATGACATTAATTACTTTAATGATTAATATAATAATCCATTATTTAGAATGGGAGGAGTGAGGCTGGAATCGTATTAACTGTCACATATTAATAAAGTAGTTTTGGCTGCCTAGCAATGGACCATATCGGTAAACAGCTGATATAGTGAAGTGTGTGCATTTGTATAAAGACCAAGCCAAGAAGAAGCCACAGACACATTGGGGAGAAGGATGGGAAGAGCTAGAGACAGATAGAGGGAGAGATAAAAGCTCTCACCTTCCAATGTCGTTTCTTGATGGTGTCTCTGGTGATCATCATAGCTGCCCAAAACTGAGTGAAGGATTGCTTCAATTTCTTGTAGTACTTCCTGTAACAGAAAGAGGGCGCCACAGCTTCACATTCAGAATCACATTAGACTCTCCTCTGTTTTAACATGCTCTCAGAGTTGATCAAATATGAAATCGCTTCACAAATACCGGGCCTGGTGGCCCCTGATGTGGGACTGGATGACGATAGCCTTCTGTTTAAAGAAACGGAAGTTTCTTCGGCAGATGAAGCCGCGAATGTTCCTCTGGATGGTGACTGCCGCCCATGTTTGAGTGCTACTCCATTTCTCCTCCACCCGTTGGTACAGACTCTCCTTCATAAACACCTGTGTGTGTTCACATTAAAGGAAATCATTTGAGGGTGGGATCTTTAGAGTTAATGTAGTAAATGAACGAGTCAGAATAACCCAGGCTGAGGTAAAGAGTTATGTTACTGTACTTTAGTGAGTCCTAGTTGGTAATGGCCTTCCTCTGCTCCTACAGTCTCCAGTAAAGTCACTACTTGCTCTTTACAAGACTGGTGTGCAGGTCTCTGGGCCAATAATACGCCATATCTGAAATTAGACATAAACAGTGATAGAAAAATGTAGTTGAAACTCACCGATAAAGATAGTGGAGATTTTATGGAGGAAGAGACAGTGTAGCGTTGCATGATTTCTTACTCAATTCTGATTGATGTACCTATACTCAGGGTTCACACACATTTTGACCAATGGAATTACATGAATGTTCCATGAATTTTAAAGATTTTACACCTTAAAAAATAAATAAATTATATAATAATTATAATTATACACATATATAATAAAACAATAGGACAATAAAAAAATTAAAATGTTATTTTCAGGCATGGAAGAAATATAAATACAAACACACACAAGTATGATAACAATGTATGATTGTTAAACCACTAATAATGTATTTGAAGTCCTAGATTCTGCCATAGTGTATTACCTCTCCATGAACAGAGCGAAAGGGATGCGAATAGGAAATCCTTCTTTTCGTATGTGAATGGTCTCCAGTATCCCTCCATGCCTTAGCTGTGTGTTTATGTAGTCTACATCAAATATGCCTGGAAGCTGAAACCACACAAAAACACCAAACTGAGGTCCACCAATCCAGCATTTGTGCTTGCTTACTCTAAACATAATGGTTCACAAACAGAGAGATTAGATGTTAATTACATACAGTGTCAGCTGAAATTACCTTAACATAGTTTGGCTTAAAGCATCGTATAAATGTAGTTTTACACCTAAAAAAAAACAGAGAATAAATAGACATTAAATTATCTACACATATTCTCACATTGGACGACTACATAAGCCAAATGGCAATACCAAATACCCTGTGTATATAATACATAGCAGTCCATTTATACAAAAAATAGCAGAATAAATATTTGTGACATCTGTTGACCTCTCCAAACGAGTGGTGAGCTCTATAAGTGACTGCTGGAAATGAGCAGCTACAGTTGACATCTGGTTCCGGTAACCTCTTGCTCTTCCCAGCTCTTTCTGTTGGACGTAACGCTCTTGAACCTTCCGGAAGAGACCCGACACTATCTGCGCAGACAAGAAAACACACTCCAATTACTTGTTACAGGTTTTTGTTTCCAAACATTGGTCCTTTAAAACATAATGAGACCTAAAGCTTGCATAAATGATATGGGTTGTTCCTAACTCTTTTGTTTTGTCTGGGTGTGTTGACAGTCTCATGAATATATAATAGAGGACACGTTATTGTATTTCTTTGCAATCTTAACACATCACAAATCACTGAAGACAGTGTGAAGTGAGCTTCCATGAATACAACTTAGATGAATTTACCTGTAAACGACTGCGGGCAAAAAGCTCTAATACTTCTGGGCGAAACTGGTCATGATTTTTATTTAGAAAGTTGTGCACCTGGTGAGCAGGGAGAAAAAAAAATTGTAGCCAAAATTTTGCCAAAAAAGTATTTTAGTCATGGAAATCAAAAGATTCTTGGGGAAAACTATCAGAACAATCATGCTGCATGAATAAAACATTTTGTGAATGCTCAGATCAGGCTTGCCTGGTACGTGACAGCCCCTGCATAGTGATATATTGTGAACACTGGCAGAGGAATTTTGGGCTTGGTGTAGTAGGGACTGTTGCCATGGTGATAGTGACATTTCTGCAAGAACGTGTGGTCTGTAGCCTGGGACAAAAAAGAGGGAGAGAGCCAAAGAAAAGAGAAAGGCAAAACAAAGGCAAAAGCGGCCCATAAATCCATTGTAGTATACATAATTTGCATTTGAATCAACACTAGGCCATTTTGGTGGAAATTCAAGTTTTATGATATTTAAACATCATATTAGACACATATACGTAGAAAAAGAAACTTCTAAATTCAAGATTACTCAAATGAATATTGACTTTAAGATCACTAAAATATCTGGATTGAAGCTGAAATGTGAAGTTACTTGAGGAAGGCAAGTCTGGTCATCCAGGATGCGAAGGATTCCGTACGGCCGTGCTGAGATAAGATCCAGACAGCCATTAGAGTCTTCCAGAATTATTGGATACCACTGGATCTGCTCTGTGCTGTATTCCTCCTAACAACAACACACACAGCCAACCACTTGTTTTATTTATTAATTTTTTTCAGTCCCCTGAAGTATTAATTATTTCCAGGGCAAAAAAAACGTATCCGTGAAGCCATATTTATGGTATGATATCTCAAGAATTACATTTACTGGTCCCATTGGAATTGGTAGATATATATTAAAACATGTTCCCATCAAGTCCAAATGGTAGAGTCTCCTCAGGGTACTAATATTTTCATAAATGGCCTCTAAACTTCGAATAAATTGTCGATATGATTGCTGAGGACACACACTGACCTGCTCTTGGGCCACCAGAGCTTTGTTCACAAACTGTTGCAGCTGCTCGTTGGCAAAGTTTATGCACAGCTGCTCAAAACTGTTCACACTCAGGTCCTGTAATGCATTTTTGTTCAGACTTTTTAGAGGTTTAACAGGTGGGGATTAATTGCAACTATGCACATTTGATTCAGATATAAATGTTAAAAAGACAACAATAAATTTAACAGTAAAATTGTCACTTTAAGGTCATAATGAGAGACAGGATACCTCAAAGCCGTATATATCCACAATTCCAACAGTGCTGTCCATCTCTGTGGGGATCAACCACTCATTGATGCGTTCAAGAATCCAGTCAAACAGCACAGAGTACAGCATCTTGGCAATGGCATCTCTGAATCAAGAGCAATCTGTCAGTATTCATCAGCTACCTTAGGGGTCAATGCATATAACAGATTAATTAATCTAATAATTTCAGTAACATTTCATTGTCTAACCTGGATTCAATGGCACTTTCCACTGATAGAGGGCAGTAGATCCTATCATAAATTGTTTCCTGTGGAAAAAATAACTGTGTTCTTAGGAGATAGTTCTGTTGTGTTAAAAGTAATATTCTGGGTTGAATATATATTGTGGCAGAAATGTACAAAAGCACTACAGTTCAAAATTTTGAGGTTGGTAAGATTTTTTCATGGTTTTGAAAGAAGTCTCTTATGCTCACCAAAAATGCATTTATTTCTTCAAAAATACAGTAAAACAGTAATATTGTGATTTTTTTTTTTTACAGTTTAAAATCTCTTTTCTGTTTTAATATTTTAAATAATTTATTCCTGTGATGCCAAATAATTTTTTTATTCTTGTGATGCCAAAAAGAATTTTCAGCGTCAAATGATTTGTGCTCCAGAAACATTTCTTATTATCAATTTTTAAGTTATACTGAACCCAAAATATTCATTTAGTTCCGAGATCTTGGGAAGAAATTAACATGTATTTGGGTGAGAGTGTGTACGAGTTGCTCACAGTCACCCGGTGTGTGATGACCGTCTGTAAGGCCTCGGCGGACACCTGCAAGAGGTTTCCCACTCTCCGAGCTTCGGCTTCACTAAAAATACGGGCGACCTCAAACGATTCACTCTAATTTTTGAGGGGACAAAAATGAACATAGTTTGGCTTAAAGACTAATTTTAAGGATCCTAAAAGCTAAAACTGTCCTTAAAAGGGGTAATCCAGGCATCCACACCTC